AAGTTGCTGTTATCCATTCACTTCGTTTTAAAAGGGGCTATACTAGTTTGGTGGTTTACTAGATCTCCCTAATTGTGCGATTCTCCAGTATCATCAACATTTTGTAAATTTTATTTTATTAATGTTACTTCTGTTTAACGGATGGAGACCTGTTTCATGAATCCTAATAAGCGAAAACATATACCGAATATGGTAACAAACTATTTGCACTTATCCAGACATACCTAAAATAACATGGGATTTCTTGATAACACCGTTTTCAAATAATGTAGTTAATAAACTGGTCAATTAATCTGTTGTAATAAATAGATTTCTTGATATTTTTGACGATTTGGTAAAAGTTGTTTTCACCTATCTTTAATTGATTTAAATACCACGATATCCAATGGTTGGAGAACATGTGTTGTGTGTGGTGATACACCAATTAAAATCATTTGCTCTTGTATTGTTAATTCAAGTAATCCAACACTTTTGTGGGAACTGTAACCATCCAATAATAATATAATTGGTTTCTGAATCTTTGACATTTGGTAAATATATCGACGAACCATTGATAAAAATTTTTAGGTGTTCTTCTCCTGGATTCGATCTTCCGACCTTTCATACGCTGTACTTCTCCAACTATGTATTTTCCTATTGCACTAAATTGTGCAAAGGAAACTACGAGTTATGATGATACATTCGTATGAAGGCCGTACACTTATCTATATATTTAAATAGTCTTTACAAGTGATCACTCACATGTTACTAGCTATACTATACATAAGTGTCGAGCTTATTTTTAACATCGACACGACTGTGTACGACGGACACAGTCCGGAAAATACGTAGTTGGAGAAGTACAGCGTATGAAAGATCGGAAGATCGAATCCAGAAGAAGAACACCTAAAAATTGTTCTAAAACGAATATCTCTTGTATAAAAAGTATTCCCCCCATTGATAAAAATGTTCTCCTTCCATTAGTTGATATATTTTATAAAATGAAGAATATCCATAAGAATGAAGTAATTAAAAGCGCTCGAATTTTACATGATGGTTTATTAAGGCTATGCATGCACCGCTTAAAAACCAGTTTCCTCTTTTCGAAAAAACTAAATTGTATGAAGAATATGACGTATTAAATTTTCTCACAATTATGTTTTGTAGAGCAGACAGAAAACAAGCTAAACATATCGGTTTTTAACCGGTGCAGGCCAAATTAAGACATCAATTAGAAAATAATATTTTTCCTTTGTAATTAACATACTGTGGTAATAATTGGTCACTAGCACTACAAAAAAAAAGAGTTGTAAAATGTGTTCTGCCCGTACCGAGCTGCTTTTGATAAATAAATTTGGTGTTTTTGCGCGCAATAACGTTTTTGTTGGAACGTCTATACAAGAAGTCGGTTGCATCACAATTGAAAATTTGAGATGGTTTATCAAATAAATTATATTCCTTGAAAGCACATTCTGAAAATGAAACACAAATTGAGACGTAATGATGACGTGAATACGACATTTACAGTAGTTCCGTTTTATATTAAACGCCACAGAGATTTTTTCTCATCCGGGACAGCTAGATAGAAATTGAAATTTCCGCGCGAGAAAATGGAAAAAGGGATCAAAACACAAACTGTTTCGCACTTAGACCTGACGTGACTGAACTAAGTTTGACTTAATAAAAATTTGGGGTTTGTTCTATTCTTTTTGAAAAATAATACACTGGTCATAATTGCAAAAGCAAATGGCTTGAAGAGACGTTGTGCGGTAGATTTGACATCTCCATCTAGAAGAGTAATGCTTGTAAATTTGCAAGAAAATATGTTTTCATTCACGAAGCAACCATAACCCTATACCCTCCCATACCGATTCCAGCAGAGCTACTGATAAAACAACCATTAGAATAGTGTGCTGGTCTACTCAATATGCTAATAGTATGGTCAGATCGTATAGTTGCATTCTCCTGTGTGCACGACAGTTTGGTCACTGACCATTGGGGCGGAACAACATGAAAACTCCAATTTTTTTGTGTAGTTCCACAAACATGCGATCTACTTTGTATATTTGAATGATATAATCACACAAAAGTTAAATACATGATAAATGTTAATTTTTCTAAAAACAACCACATATTTTTCTAATGTAAACCTGGGGACAAGATAAAACGACATGTCGCTCTATTTTGTCCAAGCACATAAAGTTGTCTAGGGTAAGGGCGACAATTCGGGTGCTCTATTAGGGATGTAGTTCTAATTTGTTCAAAGGGAAAAGCAGTTAATTTTTCGGCTTTAACAAATTCTACGTAACTTGTCGTGCTTTGGTAAGAAAAATCATGCCTTATAAATTTATTTACAGGCACCCCAGAAAGCCAAATACTGGACTTTAAAGGAGTTAGACAGCCTTGTGTTTCAGAGCATCTCATCTTATGCCATGTTAGATTGAATCCTTTTACAAAAGTTGTTTATCATTCACGATGTTGTTTTTGTGCTCTATTCTAATTTTTCGTTCAAATCCAAGGATAAAACAGAGACATGTCGTTCTAATGTCCCGCCCATCAGACTCTTTAAGGCGTCGTCCTATTTATCAAATCGCCGACGAATTATGTGTCGCTAGTTTATCGGCATGTATCAAATTAAACAACGTAGCACCTATTAAAAGACAGAAGATAGCGCTTATACCTCAAAAAACTAAATATGAACTCTCAAAAATTCTTAGATCCTGGGTGTATAAAAAGATAAATATCTAAACACTTCCGCTATTTTAAAAATAAGTTCTATCGCTAGTAGCTGCATATATGGACTTGCTGTTCATTAAATACGCATCCTCTACGCGATTAGAGCATTCTGCATCTCGCGCTTGCTTTCATTATGCATAGGGCACTAGAAAATTCCGTTAAAATTATAAATTTTTCATATCTTTTACAGTTCTGCGACACTGGAGTATCTAACTTTCATAGTACATCTATGCGTTATGCGTTATCCACTTACGACGTGCTTGATTTTAAGACAAAAGAAGTATTAAAAAAGAATATAGATCATCTTTCAAGAGTACAAACATCCGTTCACTCTTTTTTTATCTCCAGCAATTCCGATAAAGTCATTTTCTAAACGTATTTTTCATGACTGGCGACTTGATGATTAGGGTGTCGATCTATTTTGTCGAAGGATTTATTTGAACAAAGGCATTTTTCAGCTCCCATCTCTGGCTTCCCAATGGTTACTCTAGCGAAGATACTATTTTTAACAACCTTATTTTCTGCATCATTTTCTACAAACAGTCACTCCAGTGACCCGTGGAGGAGTAATGGATTAAAGATGTCTCAGTGACAATTTCTTGAGAAAAGAGATTGGTGGTGTAAAAAAGATACTTTTGATTTTGAAAACAATGAAAAGTAATAATTAAAGCTTTTTACTTAGATTTCCAGTTTTTGACGATTTCAGCAGTCCAGTTTGTTTAATTTTTAGGCATTTTCCAGTAAGAAAAATTAACAGAAAAATCTGATAAAAGTCCAAATCATAATGAGCAGAAAGTTGAATTTTTAAACAGAACTTTATGATACTTTTTCTAACAATTGACTTTCTCTTGAATGCAATAGATTCCATCCATCCATTCTGAAATATTTTGTTTTCCTAGCTTTTTATGAGAAAATCAAATTAGTATGGATTTTGGAAAAAATAATTTCTATTGCATCACAGATTCTAGATGGATTCAAGGAAGTTTATTAGTCGAGATGCACTGATATCGATAAATATCGATCATATCTGCATCGATTTTTTGTACTCAGTAAATTTGTTTTTCCCGGATTAATTCATATATCAGCATGAAATACTAATAAACTCATAGATGTTAACTAACTCGAAAAAACTTTTAATACGTTTACTGCGTTAAATTTTACATTGCATGAGTGAACGGAAAAGTCCTATTCTGTTAAAAAATCATTAACACGTTAATTGAATTAAAATGGATTGTTTAATGCATTAATCTAAGAAAAGCGTTTTAGTCTCATATTAAATTATTTTAGCGTCTTTTAAAACCTGTGAACGTATTAAATGGAACAATAACATTTTTAATGCATCTTAATGCTTAAACAATTTCACACATGTGAACATATTAACCCCTAACTCGTTCAAACGTTTTTAAGACATGTTACGTGACTAAACGCTGTCTTATAGCTTATTAAAACTAATGTCATTTATTCAATTATTATTATTCATGTTTTTCAACACACGTGATTTGAACACGTTACTTTTAAGACACGTGCTTCCGAAGTTCTGAATTTTTTAAATTTTAACGTAAAAATCGTTTTATTTTCAAAATTAAAACTCAAATTTATGTTTTAATTTGGCGGAATTCGATAGCACATGTGACGTTACATTGATGTTGACTATTTCTGATTTTAAAAACAAACGGTCCTACATTTAAAGTTTATAATTTAAATTCACCAGGATCGTATACCTTGAAGAACGCGACTTGCGAAGAAAGCATTTTCAGATCTTACTTCTCCAACAAAACATATTCAGCATGTGGAGGTGCATCAGGCGAGATTTTATGGAAAAATATATTTCAACAAATTGAAAAAACATCAACACTTTTTTTCAGCCATCTCTTTCTTCTTCCGCAAGGACGAAATATTTGTTTCCACAAATCTCGCCTGATGCATCTCCATATGCTGAACATTTTTGCTGGGAAACCAAGGTCTGGACATAATTCGTTCGCGAGTCATGATCTTTAAAACACAATGTATATAACTCTCTCTTAGCGCAGGTCAACGACATGTGTGAAAGCATATGCTGATACATATTTCGTTCATATAAAGGTACGTTCTCTAATCTATCTATTGAGCACCGCTAAAGGAATTGAAATAATAATAATATTGAAACTTGATCGTTGAAAACTTGTCGATCATATAAACTGTTCTTTATTTGCGCATGAATTAATATTTAGAGGATAAAAAACAGTATTGGAGAAATAAGGGAAGAGTTTTGGTCATAATAACTATACGATACAGTAATATCATTTTCATTTTTTACCACCACTTGAACTTGATCCACCTGAAGAGCCTGTGTTTGATTGACTGGCGCCACCATATTTATCACTGTTTGGATTTAGTTGATTTGCATGATTATTTAAATCTGCGGCATCACCTGTGCCACCATAACCACTTTGGTGACCATCATATTCCGAATTGTTCGGATTACATTGGTTTGCTTTGTTGTCGTTGGAAGCTGATGACATGATGCTGGAAACTTCTAAAAGTAACAAAAAGAGGTGAATATTTGTTCGTGCTGAATAAGCGAGACGACATTTTTCGAAAACTAACTTTGATAACGTGTAATCAGAAAAAATGTGGCTCGTAAAAATACTGAATTTGATCGTATGAGCTTTAACTAAGTTTATATATATAGACCCCATTCTGGTGGGTTTTTTCCAAGTTATTTTTATTTTATTTTTTTTATTTTTATTTTTTTTTCTTTATCGCGTATATGGGCATTAAAATGTATATGATTAGACGCAATTTATTGGCCTCCGAGAATATTCTGAGTATTTTTCCTCTTTCAGAGAAGAATTGATCTGTGTAAAAACACTCTATGTTTTATCCATTTGCAATAGAACTCTCTTTTTATCGTAACGTCTTGCCTGATATACTATTCTGACATGTGCAGCTATGCAAAAGTGCCGTGTACAGCGACTTTCACGTTATCTTGCATGCTTCACAAAGCTCGTGATTAGACATAAGCACGCATGATGACACGGAAAGCAATGAATAAGAACTGATTTTGCCGTTACGTTTGTTGAACACAGGCGCTTACTTGATAATAATTTAATACATGGTAATATTTGACCATGTAATGAGGGGATAATTTCTTAGAAAGTCAGTAGAGATACATCATATACCTAATTCCATTTCATTCACCATTGAATAATAGACCTTTGAACACTGCAATCTCACACAGTTGCACGTGTCAACGCATGTGTCAAAATTGTATCTCGGTTGAGTTCAGACCCTTTTTATATTTTGATAGAAGAAGAAAAAGAGAGTAAAGACAAAAACTGCTTGTATGTAATAGATTCTATAGAATAACTAATTATGACGGCAGATACTTATTAATATTCTTAGACCCGCAAATTGAATCATGTACAGTGTACAGAATCAGAATGAGCAAATAAAATAGAGTATTTCCTGACATTCTGAAATAGGTTGGATGGATTCCGACCTAGAGGGAAAGCACGGAATCCTGAAATCCTGAAATTCTATGGAATCTAGTAGAATCTAGTATTCTAAACAAATTGTTTATTATTACCTATTCTCTACTAATACTTTACATTTTTACTGTCCTTGTTTCGACGATGTTGACAACATTCAAAATACCCACTTTTATTTTTCGCTTTTACAGTATTAGCAGAGAAAAGGTAATAATAAACAATTTGTTTAGAATACTATAATGGAATATTTTTCCGCTTGTATTCTGACAAAAGAAAGCTTATATCAATAAATAAATACTTGGAAATATGTCCTTCAACTGGATTAATCACTATGCACATAAAATCATATTTTTTTTAGACTGTACTGGAAACAAAAGAGAGCGTGGGACTGCTCTAATAACGCGAAGCCAAGACGTGATAAAATATTCATTTTTACTTTTATATCCAATCAAGTATGCTCTCTCTAAATACCGTAGTTTTAAACAAGTTGCGTATGTAAAGATGGTGCTTTTTCTGCATGAAAACGATGGAAGTTTAAAGACGACAAAATAATGCCGGGCCGAGTTACAGGTTTTCCAAAAAGCCCCGGTTTTTCCGTCAAAGACAATTTCTCTGATAAATCATATTTTCCACTTTAAAAGCAAAGGAAACGATATTCTGGAAAACTGATTTTGCCATTCGATAAAGCTCATCGAGTTCGATCTGACAGACTTATTTCCAAAGATGGCACAGCTTTAATAGAAAATGTTAGGTAAAAATATAGAAATCTGCTGCTAACTTCCCTTACGTTAGTTTTTGAAGGTTTTCAATCGCTATGAATGATGACTTTGCCCATAGTTGTATATAGTGTTAAATTTCCATTGGTTCCTGGTCGAAATTCGATACCTAAACCTAAACCAAGTGCTGAGGCAATCAGTATTAATATATTAATAATACTAACTGAAATAATTCATGGTGAAAATGTTTGTTGTTGTGCTTTGATTGGGTAATACAATTTATTCTTTTTCAAACTAATGTAATAAACATTTGATGAGTAATGGAAAACTGTACACAGACTAATTTAGGTAGTATACCAGTGTTATAATTAGCCAGAGGCTAAAATGAGCTTTTAACGTTATCATGCCTGTATAAAGGTATATGTTAGAGTTAGGTGTGTGAACGGAGTTTCAATAAATTTATATCAACTGTATTAACTCTGTGGAGTTTATTTACAATAGACGACGATGAAATAACAATGAATAAAACAATACGAATAAAGAAATATGATTAAATAAATTATAATCGAAAAACTAACTAAACTGAGCAGTACATGTCCTTTTATATAAGAAACAAAGAGGATTCCAGATTCTATGTAGGTGTCAAGAAACGACGAGAAAAACTTTATAAAATAATAGAAGGTCAGCAAGAACGTAGACACTTGTGGCTGAAAGGAAATGAGAAAAACATACACGTCTTATATGTACAAACATATACCTAAAAAGAGAAGAAGAATTGACGTGAGAGATAGGTCTCTCGCAGTATACGAGAACTACTCTTGTGTAATAAAGATATCGAACGATACTTTTAATTAGAGAAACTTATAGAACGAATACATTCATTCCTTCATTGAGTTCATTATACCTAGTCGTATACATTTCTGTTTTTCTCTTTAGTACCACGATATGATATGATAAAATTAAATTGTTTTGAACATTAAAAGAAAAAAGGAATAAATAAAAAACTAATGAAGCACGTAATAAATGAATTTTGAGCAAACTTGAAAAAGAGAACTATATCACTTCAGATGCAAAGTGCATACACAAGGTCAGATGCACGTAATACAAACTTCAAGTGAAATTGTTTTGGGCATTATTATACATATTCAGATTCAGCTTAACGAGCTGATTACAACTAACACCTTCCGAGTCTCCAAAAGCCATTTCTTCACGGACAAAAACTAGGCTTAACGTACCAGAAACACCACTCTTAAATACTAATACGCAGAAAAGTGGGTGTTTGCATTTTCGAGACTGTCGTTAACATTTATATAAAAATATTAATAACAGAGATTTGAAAGTAAATATTTGTGGGAAACAGCGAATACTTTTAATAATACGAAGTTTTTAAAATCACCAGTTATTTTATCTACATACGGGATGAATGGTAAATTAACCTTAAGAATATAATAAAACATTGGCACCCCCCCCCCCCCCCCCCCCCCCCAAGAACGGAGGGGGGGGGGGGGAGGTGGGGGG